AACCTGACCAAAGCAATCATTAAAGATTGTTGGTACAGCATATGGCTTTAACACTGGTCTCTGGCTGTAACCCATCTCGAACATATCAGCACTAAAATGCTTCGAACACAAACGACTATTTTTCATAGGAACAAACTTCACTGGCATAAGTTTGCTTATATTCGTCACCCATATGCTGTGTAATTCAGGGAATCTCTTCTCATCTGGAAAGCTTTCAAGTAAATGAACAATTGTTTTTAGTGTCTAGTTACACTGTTCAATATGATACATATAACTTACAATATAAACAATGCCACACTAAACAACACATGGTTTAGTCCACAATAAAGACAATACAATGAGTGAAAGGCTTTGTACATTTAAAGCTAGTCGTATCTTTATCACATTGTTAAAATTCTCATTTGAAATTTTTTAACATAGCATTATCTGTTAGGATATCGATAGGATTTCATCACTGCATCACATCCATCAACTTGCATGAAAATAAATACTTGCTCGACAACAGCTCCACAAGCTTGTCAGTATTTTAAAATTTTGTTCTGCTTTTGCACTGTAGTACACTAACATAAATTGTATTGTATGTTGCTTGCCAATAAATTTCATGAATTCACAATTTTACGCATTCAATACAGCAAATACAGCATGCGTTAAATTATTACAAAAAAAGAGATTATACGAGCCTTATAATACGCATGTGAGGACAGGTCCTTTCTTTCAGTAGATTTTTGGCAACCAGGAATTGAACAAAAAGTTGGCATGGTTGCAAATGTCTTGTTTCAATATAGAAATTTCCGACCGAAATTTTGAATTTACTATTTTACTTCCTTCTGTTTTAAGCAAATTGAAAGGGGGGTGTGAACACAGAGTAGAGACATACAGAGATGTAACTAGTGTACCCACTTTTTTTGTGCGCATGCTCGGCAAGTTACTAGATACATGCATCTGATTGGATGACGACCTGATGACGACTCACTTTAAACTTGCTGAGCATGCGCAGTTGATCATTTTTCGTCCGGTCGCCTGAAAAAAAGTGGGTACATGATAACGTAATCTTCCGCAGTGTTTACAACGGTCAGTTACGTCTCTGTCTCTGTATGTCTTATCTACTCTGTGGTGTGAATAACTTTTTTCTTCACGTTGGTATTTTAGGTCAGTGGTGTTCACCATAAATTTAGGTCGATTGTGACGTCAAAATGACGTAAATTTGGCCAAAATCCGCCATGTTTTTGGCCACACATTTTTGACTGACGAGGTATTGGAGCACGATCTCCAGATATATTGAGTATAGCTCAGTGAGTAAAAGCCTGTTCTACTCATTGCGAAAGAGGAAAAAAGTGGGAAAATTCAACAGAATCGCTCCTGTGCAGCTATCCGTATTTCGCTGACACAATTTCGCGCGAAGAATTTCGCCGTCGTGGAATCAGGCCTTAAAATTGCCAGTTTCTGATTGCTTACTGCATTTGAAAGTTAATGAAGGTCTTGTGTCTGCATACAAGCCCGGCGTTCAACAGAGTTGAAACTGAATTCAAAATTAATTCAACCGTCCAATCATCATTCACTCGATGTATGTTAATTAATACATTAATACATTCTTCCGGAAAGTACTTAACCTTGGCGTAACTCAAGATGAAGGGTTTGTAAGTATAGGTTATATGATATAAAGGGCGAGGCGATATTAGTTTATCGCTTGAGGGATGGTATCATAAATGACACGAGTTAGAGCAAGGGACATTTATGATATTCTGAAAGCGATAAAACTGATGTCGCCTCGTGCCGATTATGATAACCTGTTTATTATATACTCGTGCCTTTATTAGGGTCAGAATTTATGTACTATTTAAAACACGAGTAAAAATACGACTACAAAAGAATACTAATTAGGATGAACAATTATATAAAGAATACTAATGAAGATGAGTTTCATCAGATATAAAGTCACTCCACGTGATATTGTGGCTGACACGATTTGCCACAAGGTTTATGAATTATTAATGATACCCTAATAAGTAAGAGTTAATTACCGAGAAGCGAGGCATTTAGCCACAGGGCGAAGGGAGAGAGGGCGTAGAAACGGCCATACATCGAGCGGACCCATCCGTGATGCGAGCTTCGCGGGGGGTAAGACGTTCTAATTGTAAACAAATATGGCTACGCGTATATGACCCATCAGAAGGTATGCTGAAACTATT